TTTCTGGCCGATTTTCATGACTTTCTGGATTCGATCCTGCGTTGACGCCTTCTTCCGCCGTGTTCGATCCGCCACCGCACCTTCTTCTCCCTTCTTTTTATTCGCCTCTTTCGTGAATTCCGTAGTGATATCGTAGTCGCCGCGGAATTTCGGAATTGTGGATTTCGAGAAAAGTGGATGACGTTTTCGGGGTGTGACGTCTTCTAATATCTTCTTCCTGGATGTTTTCGGTGGTCGTGACGACGTCGTCGGCTCATCTGCCACTCGTTTTTCACGCATCCGTTTTTGACCTTCTAGAGTGTTCCTGTATGGGGACACTCCTGGCGGTATTTCGAAATCGTCGTCTGCAAAAAAAAATTAAGGAAGGAAGTTTGGCGGGAATTTGATATCCTCAGTTGATTTTAGACCAATTTTCGAAGGTTTTCAACTAAAAAAAAATAACCGAAAATCGGAAAATTGAATTGAAATTTGGCGGGAATTTGAATTTTTCAGCTGATTTTAAGCCAAAATTCGGGAATGTCAGCCGAAAAAAATCGAACAAATTTCGAATTTTTCTAAAAAATTTTCAGCCGATTCTTAACCAAATTTCAGCGATTTTCAGCACTTTTTTGAAAGAAAAAAAACCAAATTTTTGAATGAATGAAATTTAGCGGGAATTTGAATTTTTCAGCCGCTTTTAAGCCAATTTTCGAAGATTTTCAGCTAAAAAAATATTCGAAAATCGGAGAAAAAATTGAATTGAAATTGCGATTTTAAGCAGAATTTCAGCGATTTTCAGAGAAATTGAGAGCGGGAATTCAAATATTTTGAAAATTTGAAAAATTGATTAAATTTCTGTTTTTTCTGGGCAGTTTAATACTAAAATTTGGCGGGAATTTGAATTTTTAAATACATTTTTTGCCTAATTTTTGGAACTTTCAGCCATCGAAAATTTAAAAATCGAAGAAAATTTGAATTTCAAAAAAATTTTCTGCCGAAAAATTCGATAATTTTAGCGATTAAAAAATTTTTCGAAAAGAATTTTGAATGGAATTTTGGCGGGAATTCGAAATTTTCAAATTTTCAGCGAAAATTCATAAAAACACGATAAAACTGACCGCCTACAAGCTCAGCAATGACTTGGGTATACGGTTTTCGGCCTCCTGGTGACAACAATGGTATTTTAGTTGCTTCTGAATCTGGCGTCGTTCGACTCGTTGATGGATGTTCAGGGAAAGAAAAACGAATTGGCGATTTTGAGGATCCGTCTTCTGGATTCTTCGATTCTGGTGCTTCTGACGTGGCGGCTTCTGGAGCATCTTCTGGAGCCACGTCTTCTGGATTTTCCGATTTTTGAGAATCTTGAAATTTTGAGGTTTGTGGCATGACGTCTTCTGGATCTTGCAATTCGGGATTTTTCGATTCTGGTGCTTTTGATGACGTGGCGACTTCTGGAGATTCTCTTGCTTCTGGATTTTCCGATTCTAGGTCTCCATCCGACTCGATAGCTTCTTGAGCATCTGCAGTGACGTCTTCTGAATCTCCTCGAGCAGCAATTTCATATGTATCGTTGGTTGAGGATTCTGGCATGACGTCTTCTGAATCCACATATTCTGCGGCATAGTTGAATTCTGGAGAGTATTCTGACACTTCATCGTCTTCTGAAGATTCTTCCAGAATGACGACTTCTGCATCCTTAGCATTTGAAGTAGTCAAAGATTCTGTAGATTCTAATTCTGGAGCTTCTGGAGCCATGTCTACTGTATTCGTGGCGTCCTGAACTATCGGAGTGACGTCATCTGAAGACGTGGATTCTATAATGACGTCTTCTGAATCAGTTTCTGGAGCAATAGGCTCTTCTGAATTTTTGGTTTCTGAAGATTCTGATCTGACGTCTTCTGGCTCTTCACATTCTTCTATATCCACGTCTCCTGGAGCTCGAGAAGTGGAGGATGCTGATATGACGTCTTCTGGCCCTTCTGAAGCTTCCAAAATCTCCACGACTTCCAAAATTTCGACGTCTTCTAATTCTTGCGGCTTCGCAAATTTATATTTCATGGAAAATCGTGGTGGAAGTGGTAAACCTCTCGTTGGCGATTCTGGAAGCTCTTCTGGACGTGCAAAGCTGAATTTCGGAGTGACGTCTTCTGGAATCTTGGCTTTTGGAGTTTTTGCTATGTGGACGTCTTTTAGAAATTCTGAAACGACGTCTTCTGGAATTCTCGCTTCTGAAGCTTCAAATTCTGTAGTAACGTCTTCTGGAGCCGCAAATGCGAACTCTCGAAGTGGAGGTTCTTCAGAAGCGTCAAGTTTCCGGGTGACGTCTTCTAAAGCAGCTTCTGGAGCTTCTGGAGACAGGCCTTCAGGAGATTCTGCTGTGACGTCTTCTGGAGGAGAAAATGCAAATTCCAGAACTGGAGAATCAGCGTCAGGATGCCGAATTTCTTGTTGTATGTCTTCTGAAGCTTCTGCTAGTCTACTGACGTCTTCAGGATGTGAAAATGCGAATTCTGACGATTGAGATTCTGGAGGTTCTGCCATAACGACGTCTTCTGGTTCCTCAGAATCCGATTTTTGAGTTCCTACGTCTTCAGAAAGCCTCTGGGATTCTTGAAGTCGTGAATTCTGAAATCTCCGAACTCGACGAACGTCTTCATCGCTTAAAATGATAAAATTCGGATCGGATTTTGATTTGTCGAGTTCCGGAAATTTCAAATTTCCCTCCAAAATCGCTACAAGTAGGGACGATGACGATGGGACGTCTTCCGAAGCTGCTTCTTCTAGATTCTCAACGCTTTTTTCTTGCTCGACGACTTCTGGAGCATCGACGTCTTCCACATGAGTGACTTCTGAATCTGTGACGTCTTCTGAAGCCTCAACAGCGTCGTCTTGCTCCATGACGGCATCTGCAGCTTCTTCTGAAGCCTCCACAACTACTTCTGGTTCCATAGCCTCCGTGACTTCTTCTGGAGCTTGCCTGATGACTTCTGAAGCCTTCACGTTCTTTATAAAAATGACATCCAGATCCTCCACGTCTTCTGTATCCATCGTCAAATCAACAAGTTCAATTTCCTTCTCTCTCGATTTTTCAAATTCGCTCGTCGTCCGATTCAGCATGTATCCGGCGAGTCTGATCAGCCGAATCGGTGGGAAAATCGGTGAATTTCCAAAAAGAATCAACTGTGGATATTTTCGAACGACGCGCGCCACTAGTTTCGGTGCGACTGGATACAGCTCCAGGATTTGAGCATATTGGGACGGGGTGGCTGAAAATGTGGGAGGAAAATTTCGAGTTTTTTTGGCGTTTTTGGCAATTTTTGGCATATTTTTTAATGAATTTTGAGCTAATTTGAGTTTTTTTTTTCTGTAAAATTAGTCATTTTTCGACGATCGATTTTTAACCGAAATTTGTTCATTTTTCTGAAGATTTAGGTCAATTTTTGTCACTTTTTAGAGCAAATTTTCAGCCAATTTCAGCCATTTTTCGAGGATTTTCAACCGGAATTCGCTTTTTTTATCCGCAAATCGAGGGCTTTTTTTTTCTAATTATTTCGAGGCTACTTTCTGGGCTAATTTTTGTCATTTTTTTCGTTAATTTTGAACAAAAAATCGCGGAAAAAACGGATAAAAATTAGAATAAGGAATTCGACTGAAAATTGCTCACAAAATATACCGATTTCTACTAATTTCAGCGATTTCAGCTATTTTTAAGGAACTGGAATCGATTTGTCGAATTTTTATTTCTGTCAATTTTTGTCATTTTTCAACGATTTTCATCCAAATTTTGCTAATTTATCTAGGCACCACAACAAAATTTTCAAAATAGATTTTCCCAGTTTTTATTGTTTGATTGTCTTCTCCTACTTTATAGAAGCCCATTCCCAAATTTTCAGCGAAAAATCTTCATTCAATCCCGAGTTACACACCATTTTGTACCAGACCTCAATGTACTGACTTTCTCCTCATTGTTTTGCGGTGCGCAGAAAAGTGGGCGGGGTTTAGAAGCTTGCAATCCTGCGGCGCGGAAAATTCGTGAAGGAAATTAAAGAAAAAGCTATTCGACGCGAGTGAGACCCGAACCTCCGCCTGCGTCAGATCGGCTCGCGCGCCCACTATCCAGTCGGCCACGGCTGCGCTCGCGGTGGTAGCCTTACGAGGGAATGACTCACAGAAGATGTGGAGTTATGGGACGAGACCTATATCATTCGAAAGAGGATGAAATTTCATTTTCAAATATATGCTCAGTTTTTGCGGCGGCCTCCGCTAACTCGAGAAATTTAGGTCAGAAGTTTTCAGTAGATTTTGCACTGAAATGCATACGTGAACGATTCCACGTCCTCATTTCTTTTATACGCTTTGAAGAACCATTGAAAACAGCAGTGGGATGGTTCAGTGGTAAAGCGGCGGGATGGGGAAATGGTACTCTATGGTTCGACTCCTTCATAGTCGAAACTCTTTTTTTATTTTTTGTTGGTTTTTTATATGACCTGTTTTTGAGCTCAAAAGCTGTTTTCAGCAGCTTTCCATACTCTAAACACCTTTGGTTTGTTCTGGTCTCCTTATAATCATCACGATCTTTTTCATATTGTCGAAGTTTTGCCAAATGATGGTTTCCACGATCCAGCGGAATTTGTTTCGCATGCACTGTAATGGTCTTGATCCTTTGATGGTTCCACGATAGTAGTCCAACGCCTTGTCAGCTTCTTCTCTTGTAACAGATTTCTCCCCAAACATAAGATGATTGTGAGATGGCAGAATGTACCCATCAGAAGGCTTAAAATCCAATTTGATATTGAAAATACTTCAAAAATCTTACCTTGAAAACTTCGGGCTCCCAATCTCCGTCTTCCTCGTGAACTACTTCGTGATCTTCTTCAATGTCCAAATCATCAATCAGAGCATGCTCGATGAGATTAATCAGGTGGTTGGCAATTTTGGATTCTTTCCTTGATATTTGGGGATTGTTTGGAGGCGGATCCGGATATCTTTGGAGCAAAAGAAACATGACATGCGTTATATTGAACGACATATCGAACAGAAAGAGTTTCGACTATGAAGGAGTCGAACCATAGAGTACCATTTCCCCATCCCGCCGCTTTACCACTGAACCGTATGCATTTCAGTGCAAAATCTACTGAAAACTTCTGACCCAAATTTCTCGAGTTAGCGGAGGCCGCCGCAAAAACTGAGCATATATTTGGAAATGAAATTTCATCCTCTTTCGAATGATATAGGTCTCGTCCCATAACTCCACATCTTCTGTGAGTCATTCCCTAGTTAGAGGGGAAATAAGAATGTGCGACTCTTCGTTGCCTGCTGCCTCCTTCCGGTGTTGCCTCCTTCTTGTTTTTTTAATGGATTGCACTACGAAAGATGAGGAAACAGGCGTCTAACATTTTTCGGCCACATACGAATTTTCAAGTTAGGATTGTATTTAGTGGCAAATTTTGCGTAGAATCTTATGGTAAAAAGAAATTCGATGGCACTAATCTGTGTCATCCTCAAAACTTCCAAAAACCGGAAATTTTGCAAGTTTAGAATTTTCGGATGCGTATGAAAACTATTTAAAGGTAATCAATCTTTCTGAAAATTGACACAGGTGTGTCAATTTTCACAAGACTTAGTTTTACCATAATATGCACAAGACTTAGTTTTACCATAATATGCAAAAAAAATTTGGGGTCGTCGCTGAAATTTTTTATTTATTTTGGCTAGAACTTTGGCTTTTTGATATTTTGATTTTTCTTCAAAATCCAATCACCCATTTCATAAACTACCAGAATCCATCAAAAAATTTGAAGGCATTTTGTCAGTCCGACACCTATTTTTCGAAGTTTTCGAATCAAAATAATGAAAATATTGAAAAACTGATGGTTCCATTCGATTTTTCGCAGTCGAATATTATGCTTGTCTGAGAAAAAAAAGGTTGAGACGCAGAGAAAAAGTGTCTGCGTCTCCACCGTTTGTGTGCTATTTAGGCTCTCCGCTTCGATATGGCTACCGTATTCAGACTGCAAAAATACTCTCTAACCTTTTTTTCTCGGGGGTACGACTAATTCGAACGTTTTCAAATTCGAACAGACCTAAAATCGAACAGATTCAATTCAGAACAGTCCTTTTTTCGCACACGTACCAGAACAGAACGCGGACAGAATCGAACTGTTACAAGTTCGAACTGG